GGCCCAAGTTTAACTTTCTGTTTTATGCAGACCTAAGTCCACACTGTTTCAGTCTTGTGTCTCACATAATTGGAATACATCTGCTTTGTCTAGTTCCTTATCTATTAAGAGAAGTTATAGAAAACTTAATCTCAAACCACATATAACTCAAGTATGGACTTATGTGGCTCCGAATAAATGGCAGATAATTTCTAAAGTAATGACTTTAGTTTCCAAAAACTATTTTTAAAAATGAGTATATCTGATATTCCTGAAAATCATTTCATGCACAGTGATGGAAGTCCATTTTGAAAACCTAATTTGGGGAAGAATTAAAAAAAGAGTTAATTTCCTTTTTTCATGTGTTTCCTTGGTTCCTGCTAGAAATGGATGGCATCTGTTCTCAGATTGATGCAAAGAGTTGCCAGAGATAAGATGATCTTTCTTTAAGCTTCCTAGTTTTCTGATTGTCTATTCCTAGAAATCAGAGAAGCTAAGTATTTTGGTTTCAAGTACTTTCCTAGGTCTGAGTTAGAATATACAAGCTGTTCATAACTAACAAACTCAAGGCAAGAATTATCCAGAACAAGTACATGAATTGAATATAAATGCTTATGTGCCTGGGATCCCCCTCCTCAGAAATGAAACAAATTACCCCTTCTTCACTGTGTGCTTCCATATCTGAGGGTTAAGCCTACCTTTGTGTAAAGTCACCATCAGCAAGAGTGGCATGTTGAATAAGAGTTCAACATTGGTTTGCAATGACCAACTTGCTTGAGCATCTTTATTTCTAAGTTAATTCTGTAACTCCCTGTCTTGTTGGTTGGAGGTTAGCTCCAGCCTCATCTCTTATGGAGACTCTCCTTACTGTCCAAGAGGCTTAACGGCTCTTCTTCCAACCTCCCTGGCACTGTCATCAGTCCACTCACCCCATGCTAAAGCAGTGGTCCTTGGCAAGTTTTTTGCTCATGCAGAATTTTATTTTCAATTTTACTGTGCTGTCAAGATTTTTAAACATTTTGAGACATGTATATATATATCATGTTCACCCATCCTTTGAGTTCTTGCTATCATTTTTATCTGAGTTTTTTTCTTGTCTCAATCTGCTTTCATAGTTCATGTCCTTACCCTGAAAATGTTTCAGATGAAATGTTTCATCTTAAAAAGAAAAAAATCACCTTGTCTTATAATAAAGGCTCAGAAAAGCAACTAGCATGTTAATCTGGCTTCTTAATCTTAGCAGTCACCAAATCACTGGAAAATATTGAGTGCTTTGTTGTGTCTGCTTCTAAGTTCTACTTAACTTTAAAATCTTTACATTTTCTTACAGTATTGGTAGGTTTGTTAAAGTTATCTTCAGTATGAATTACAAACAAAAAGTTGATATTGGCATTATTGTCTAGTACAATAATTGAAGCTTTAACTTCATTGTTCTGAAAACACAGGGTCACTTAGTTTCTTCTGTAAGCAAGTTTGGCAACGAGTTACATTGCCAGTAAGGGATTTTTGTGTACTATTTAGCGTATGTGGGAACCTTGTATTACATTCTATTGTAGTTCTCATCTTTAGACAAGTATTATACTTCTTGTAGCTGTAGTACCAAACAGCAGGAGCTTGGGATTTATTGAAATGTCCTTACTCGTGAGTAAGAGTAGTTCAAGCTCCTTGAAGACAAGGACCATGTTTATTCTCACCCAGGGCTTGTAACAATCTAGGCACTGAATCAGTGTGTGTTGAGTAAAAGTGAGGGGCGGGGGGGGAAGAAGAAGAAAACACTAAGCATTTTGGTGAGCCTAGGCTGGTACTTAATATTTTTTTATAACATTCTAATTGGTCTTTATCTAATTACTGCCAGAAGTTACAGTGCATTTTGCTAATCAGTCAGTACAACCTTTGGCAAGAAAGCCGGAAATGCTGTCTGAAACTTCCTCCTTCCCACAAAAAGACCTGAAGATCCCTGGCCTAGAACATGCAAGCATTGAAGGACCAATAGCAGTAAGTAAAAAAATTACTTTTTAAGAACTATGAAGAGGACAAAGTAATAGGAACAAACAATGTGAACAGCCATACACTTGGCTTTTGTTAGTATCTTGGACTTGAATTTAAATAGTTCCTTCTCTTTTTTGACCCAGAATTTATCAACACTTGGAACAGAAGAGCTCCGACAACGAGAGCGCTATCTCAAGCAGAAGAGAGATAAGTTGATGTCCATGAGAAAGGATATGAAGACTAAGCAGATACAAAACTCCGAGCAGAAAGGAAAGCCTGCTGGGGAGGTAGAGGTATGACTAGCTTTAGTGTGTAAAGCTTTGCAAATCTAGAGGTGGAATTGTTAAAGTCAGATTGTGTGCAAGACAGCGTTGATAATGAATGTTGCTTGTAGCTGCAGTCATATTAACCTCACTGCTGGTGTAGCACCTGTTCAGTTTTTACTAGGCCATGAGATCATTGTGATAGGATTTTGTGAGGTTGAAATGATAGCGGTTTCATTTACACTTGTTTCTTTACTTGCCCTGCTCTGGGTGCTTATGGGTCAGCAGCCTATTTTACCTAAGCCTTTTGCAGTATTTTATCCACAAAGCAGCAACAGTACCCTCATCACCACCTCCAAGAGGCTTTCTTCCCTAAAAGGGTTTTTGCAAAGAAGAGATTTAGGGAACCCAGTCCACATGTGGGTTTTTAAATTTTTATTTACTGAAAATGCTCTTTGAGGCAGTATGTTGGGAATTTTAGACAAATGAACACATCTTATACTATAGCCAATTTTTTTTTTCTTTTCTGTTGTTTTGTTTTGTTTTAAGGAAATGACAGAGAAACCAGAAATGACAGCAGAGGAGAAGCAAACATTACTAAAGAGGAGATTGCTTGCAGAGAAACTTAAAGAAGAAGTTATTAATAAGTAATTTTAAAAACAATTTAGCAAAACAGTTCAAATTTTCTTAAAAATAAATTATTTAATCCTTAAACCAAGCTTGTTAGTTTCAAATACTTGTGTTCGCAAATGCAAATATAAGCTTATTATTACTACTTTATTAAATTTTGGAGGTAAAGGGTGGTGGAGAAGGCAGCTACTTGGGCTGAGAAGGGGTATAGAAAGCCGATGGTGCATTTATTCATTCAAACTTGGTTACCTGTTTGTTCTCAGCACTGTGCCAAGGATACAGTAGTCAGCTAGGTCATCAGGGTCCCTGCCTTCATGGGGCTAGTGAGGAAGGCCCAAAGAGCAAAGTGTAAGAAGGGAAAAGTGCAGTAATATCAGGAGGGCTGGCCAAGCCTCCTGAGAAAGTAATGTTTAAGCTGATTGGAAAGCCAGTTGCTGGGAGCAATGGGAAGGAACACCAGGTCGTGGTGCAGGAAAGAATGAAGCAGCTAGTGAGGAATGGGCAGGAGGGTGAGTGTATGTAGAATGAGGGGGAAGGCTGGCATATGGAATTGGAGATAGGTGGGGTATTGATTTAAGGGCCTTGTAGGAAATGTGAAGATTTCAAATTTTATAATGGCAATGGGAAGTCACTGAAAAGTTTGAAAGTAGGGAAGTCATCATCACAATGTTCAGTTAAAAAAAAAAAAGTGTGGCTGCCGTATGGAAACTGGGGGAGTTCGAGTCGTGAGGGTACCAACTGTAAGGAAATCCAATTAAAAGAGTAATCTCGTGCAGGAGCAAACAGGACTTGGAAAATGGATGTCAAAAATACTCAGGTACTCTTTTGAGAAAACCTACCATTAAAAAAGATAAAGGGAACAATCCGACTGAGCCTTCAGAGGGGAATGAAGCTGCGGGTGTCGGTCATTTTTATGTGAAGTGGTCCTGGATGGTTTTCTGTGGTAGTTGGCTTACCGAGAGTCAGAATAGTAGGATAAACCCTTCTTTCAAAAAACTTCCTGTGTCATCCAACAAGCACTCTCATTTCTAGTTACAGATTGCTCCTTCAGTTTAATTTATAGTTCCATTTTATTTCTTTAAATCTACAGTTATAAACGTTTAAAAAGGGAAACCAAAATTTATTTAGCTCCAGTCTTCAACCTGCAGAGAAAAACCAGCATTACATTTGTTAGATTTTCATCACTTAGATGGACAAGAGGAAGAACTAGTGATTAAAACACAGAAATCTGTTTCACGTAACTTTTTATTAAAAATAGTTTTTATACTGGATACATGTTTACAGATATAATTTTAAGAGAACCTCAGGCATACAAATGTGGGCTCTGGCTTGCTTCACTGAGTGAAGATAAAGATATAAAAATCCTGATCTGCCTGAGGATAGTCATTAAGACAGCAGCTAACATGTGGAAACTTTAATAGTTATTCTTTCAAGGGATATTTTAAGCCCTGTTTTCATATCATTGTGGGTGAGCATATGTACCATGAAAACGGTTATCCTGTAAGTCAACAAAACATTCACATTTCTGCAAGAAGAAAGGTTATTAAGATGATGATTTAAATGTTTGACTCATGGCAATTCTTTAGAAACGAAAATTAAACTCTTCATGAAGTATAAACATATTAGTTCCTACTGGAACTTTAAAATTACTTAATCAGGAAGAGTCAAGAGTCAATAGGGAAATGCTTTAGGCCTGGGCTTCTTAGATGACAAGAGTAAATTTATTAAGAGCTAAGAAGAATGAAAGGGGCTTTATAGAACTTGCTTGAAAAAAAAAATGTATTCAGATGGTAACTTTACTGATCTTAAATTATCCTGAGTCCCTTGCCTTATAAAGTGGAAGGTCTTTATCATTATATGTACCTTTAATAAAAGAGATGAGACTAGCCCCATTGCTGTGATGTTTTGGTGCTGGGACTTCATTTGCCCAAGGCATACCTTCTGTAAGTAGAATCAGTGATACTTAAAGTGCAGTCAACCGCCGTTTGTTTAGAATTTTTTCAGATTGGTGTAGGACTAAGTGGTTTATAATAAATATCTATGGATAATTTATTGGCTTTTAAAAGATATTATAAAATGGACATATCTCAAAATGGAATTAACTTATATTTACAATAAACCAAACAAAAGCAACAATCATAGAATTACAGGGTCACATTTTAATTCCTGAATTTTACAGTTCAGCATTAATATCACCACATGTATACAAATGGTGTAAAACAAGTACAGTGGTATTTTTAATACAAAATAAACATCTGTTTTATGGAAAAACTATACTTCATATCTACACAGACAGCCCATCTTTTCCAAACAATAGCCAAAATTAAAATTAACTACAAAATCTCCAAAACAGGGGAAACTGCTTCAGGTTAAGCTATTCCAGGAAAAATGGACCCATAACACATTACAAGGGTGATCTGAAGATTGTAGCCAGAATTACTGTTTTTAGTTTTTTCCCCAATGCATTAAGTTGTTGTTTGGGGGACGTATTTCCTCACTTCAGCATGATCTCAGATCATAGATGAGCAAACTAACATTAAAATATTTACAGGTAACTTGCTGTTCTAAAAATAAAACCTCTTAACTGTTTGCCTCAACTTATTTTAAATTCATTTACGTACATGGAATGTGCTTTTACTCTTTTAAAAAAGCAGCTTTCATATTACACCCTTGTTTGTTTTATGGAAAACTTCATGTGCTGCATACTGACTTTGATACTGAAGTAATAACTTCTGGGATCCAAATGGCCTCTAGATATTAAATGCCACTTAATTCAGCACTAGTCTTTGTATGTGAGTCTTTATATATTATACTTTAAAACTTACTCGCAGCTCTGGAGAGAGACAACTTTATGAACAAAGCAGAAAGTGACTTCAAATTATCTTGCACAAAAGATTGTATGTACTACGGGGAGACATTTGGAAACATTCTGTTCAATACACTCCAAAGTTTCTGGAGAAAAGTCATTATGAAATACTACTGTACTGATTCTTGGCATCAGTTATCTCTAAAAGTGCTGTAAAGTTCTATTAAGAAGAACTGTCCATTTTGAATCCAGTTTGTTTTCATCAAAATACATACTGAAAATTCCTGGTGTAGAAAACTCAACATGTACTGTAACACAGAGTGTACTTCCTTCCAACTACCTATAAGGCTGAATTTCTGTTAAATCTTCAAAAAAATGGTCCCAACAGCATAACTTCACTTTTATGATAGTTGAATTTGGTTTCATAAAAATTTTTTTAAAAAGAGGCAACCTATTAAAAGAACAACATGGCCAGCACCATTATACAAGTAATGTTATTGGGTTTGTAACTAAAGTTTTGTAATTGTTTCTAGATCGGATACCCCCTGGAGCAACCCTGCATTTAATATTATTTTATCAACCTTGTCCCTCCCCCAAGCCATCCCCAAACCTGAGAGTTTCCTCACTGAGAAGCTATCTCCCAGGTTCTGGTTACTAACCTTATTTTATTTTATTTTTTTTGACAGCCTGAAAGGCAAAACCCTTAATTACTAGCAAGCAATCAAGTTCCTGGGAAGCCTGGTCTTTTACAGAACTAAACTCTCCTAGCTGATATACTGAGTATTTTTTGCTACTCCTCATATATTTATAAGTTCAAGTGAGAAAGCTTTCTGATTCAGATTTTCAGCTCATCGAACAGTTGCAGCATTTTAGTAAGACCACACGTTGAGGGTCCCCACTAAGTATTTTATGAGCCAAGACGAGGTCTTTTCCTGGGAGATGTTTCTTCTTCTTCATCTTCCTCTTCATCATCTGGATAATCCACTAAACCAACCAAACTTCCCTATTGAAGAATAAAAAAAATTCTTAACATATGTAACTTAAGGGGAAAAAAACTTACTTAGTATAATCACTTTTAAAGACATCACAAATAACTTTTCTAAACTATTTAATCATATATATCTCAAACAGATATATTTGAATTTGATAAAGGAACAGCTTGAAAATTACGAACACCTGGTACATTGGTGGCACTCTAGGTTACCCCCAACTTTTCTATTTAGCTCTTAGATTTTTAATAACACCTCCCAATTCAGCAAACTTTCACTGTGGAAACATGTATCTCTACATAGCAGGACTCACAAATCATCATGACACTGGGAGCTAAGATTGTGAAAATGAACTCATTCATTTCTCTACGTTTAAACAGGAGTGAGTAGTCAGCCAGTGACAGGAAGCCCACCTTTTGTCTCTGTACTTCAGGTGTGTATTTCATCACTCAGTGCATACCACTGTTTTCATAATGCTTTTGATGATAAACACATGAAATGATTCCTAAAACTAATAACTAAAAAATTTAGAGCTACCTCTCTGTAACCAAAAGGAAAGTAATGAGGTAATTCAGATGTTTGGACCCCTAAAATTCCTATTAAAGCTCTGGACACTACCCAGGAAATTAAATGTCCTCAGGTTTGCACTCATTTAGAATCCATCCCATCAAGTTTATACATATGTCCCACAGGTTACAAGGGCTACTGTAAACAATGAATTTAGTTCAAACCCTTTAGACAAAGTAATAAACAAATACAACCGAAATAACTCATATTTCAAAGCTAAGCAGCTTCATATTTAAAGAACTCAGACATCTAGCCATAACACTTTGCCAAGATATAACTGAACCACTGTAATATTAGTCAACAAAGGCCAATGAGCAGCTAGAAACCATTATCAGAAAGTCTGGGAGTTAAACTTATTTATACCATATTTACATATGTGAGAATCCTGCTTTCTCAAGTCTTAAGTTTGATAAGAGACAGTATTGTCTCAATTGATAAGAATATATTGACTGTGGTCTGCCTGACTTCAAATTCCAACGCCACACTTTAGATGCAGGACTATGGGCTACTGATTTAGAATCTCTATGCCACACTTTCCTTATCTGCAAAATTGGTATAATAATAATAGTCAGACCTCACTGAACTACTTTGAAAATTAAACTGAAAATAAAATATAAAAAGCACTTGGCACAGTGCTTGGTATGTAGATAGAGTGTTCAATAATTGCTACTAGCTGCTATTACTAAAATCATTCTTTTTCATTGGTTTTCTAAGCCAAACAAGTTAGATGAGAGAAGACAGAAGATGTAATTACCTTCTAAAAGGGCACAATCTAATATTCACAAAGATAACAAGTTATCAAGGAATGTTTTGATCGTGCTTAGGATTATAGATTACATATCACAATGTACAAACATTTGTTAAAATTAATAAATATATCTGAAACACTCAGCTACACAATTTAATTTCATCTCTAGTATCTATCTATATCATAAACACTCCTATACGTTAAAACAATCATTTTTATTGAAAATAGCAATATAAAACGTGAAATATTAGAAGGTCTATAATCCAGAGATACATCTTTTGAAGAATTTGACAGACTCCAGACTTAATATAAAAACAAACCTACTTGTTTTAAAATAACTATCAGATTGCAATTGCACCACTTATGCCAAGTACTCTTGAGAAAAGTTTCCAATATGAAAGAAGGGATGAAAACAAATAACAATACCTATGAAGAAACAATGACAGTTTTTCTGAACCAAATAAACCAATGAACTAACAAATTATAAGTTAGGAAACTATTATCATGATTCATCATGTTTAAAAACTTAAGGAGAGAATTCAAAAATTATCTTCTACTCAAAATATATAGATCTTCCATAAACATGATTAATAAAAAATTTAAAAATCATCAGCAAAAGTGGTTATTTTATATTTCCTAATTATTATAGCTTTAATTTCTTTATCTCACCTAACTGCATTGGCAAGTACCCCCGAACAATGGTTACAGCAATCATAGTGGTGTCCTATCTTGTTCCCAACTTTGGTGGGACTACCTCTAATATGTCCTAAAGTATTAAGTAAGCTTTTGGTATCAGCCATATATATACCATGTTAAGAACTCTTGATGTATTTCCATTTTACTGAGTAAATGTGATAACTAATCAAAACTAAAAGCATATTCTATACAGAAATAAACATGTATATGAAATATTTTGTGGATAAAGTCACATACAATTGTTTTAGCTGCAAAAAGCTGGAAACAATGTTAAAATGCATCAAGAGTAAGTTATAAATTAAAGTATATCATACTCTGGAATTCTATAGAGAGAGTTCTCTTATGTCCTAACATGGAAAGCTCACCCAGGTTAAGTTTGTTAAGAGAAAACGCAAGATGCAGTATTCTCTTCTGTTAATCTGTGGCAAAAGAACTGTTGGTTTTAGGACCCACTGATCGTTTCTGATTCTGATTTTTAAAATATTTTTCTTTCTTTGGGGGGGGGGTAAGTAGTCGTCTTCAAGGAAAATGTGCATGTTTTACAGCTCTACAAGTTAAAAAAAAAAAAATCTTTGTAATTTCATTAGTAGCTAATGTCTTACCAGCCTTGAGAACTATCAAGTTTTCAAAGAATACAATTTTTTTAATTTTTTTTTTTTATTTATGATAGTCACAGAGAGAGAGAGAGAGAAAGAGAGAGAGAGAGGCAGAGACACAGGCAGAGGGAGAAGCAGGCTCCATGCACCGGGAGCCCGACGTGGGATTCGATCCCGGGTCTCCAGGATCGCGCCCTGGGCCAAAGGCAGGCGCCAAACCGCTGCGCCACCCAGGGATCCCCCAAAGAATACAATTTTTAAAAGCATATTAGAACTTTATTAGAATGCCATGCAAAGGAAAATGGACAGGTTCACACTTCATCTCTTTAATTTTAAGAACCAATCAATTCGATTGTGGTAATCAAAAGATAGTGAACTTCAAACTTTTGTCATAATCTAGTGTGATGAGCCATTTATTTTCCAAGAACAATCACTGTTCTCTCCTCCCCCCAAAAGGTGTAGAACAAATATATTCAGCAATCTGCTATTAGTGTCAAAAAGAGTGAAAAATTTGTGTTAGTACTTGATTTTGCTCAATCGTAAGTAAAAAATTATCTGGAAGGATAATGAATTAAGAACTCTAAGAAATATGGGGATCCCTGGGTGGCTCAGCGGTTAAGCGCCTGCCTTCCGTCCAGGCCGTATCCTGGAGTCCCGGGATCGAGTCCCATGTCAGGCTCCTGCTTTTCCCTGTGCCTGTGTCTCTGCCTCTCTCTCTCCACCCTGTCCCATGTCTCTCATGAATAAATAAATAAAATCTTAAAAAAAAAAAAAAAAGAACTCTAAGAAATAACCCAGGAGATAGAATAAGATTTAAAAAATAATATTAGAAAAATTATGACAATTGTAAAATCAATACAGAAGACCCAACATTCAAATAGTAAGTTACAGTGAAATAGCATAAAATGCTTCTCAACTGAAGGTCATGACTATTTAGCTGCTTTCAAGAAGAAAATAAAAAATGACATGCAAACGATCAGAAAGAAGAATGTCTCTGGATTTCTTGGCAGCAATAACTTCAAATTTTTAGAAGAAAATTATTTCCAATTTGGTTCTATATTCAGTTAAATTGTCAGGTAGGACAGAATCAATACATTTTCATACATGCAGGGGCTCAAATTTTATCTCTAATGGGATTTTCTCAGAAAACAATTATTACAGGATTTGCTCCACCAGAAGGAGAGGGAAAATCTAGAAGAGAACAGAGACATAAGACCCAGGAAACAATACAAGAAAGAGAGAGGCAAAAGAAGTATTAGGATAATGGCCTAGGCAAGCCTTAAGACAAGAGCTATACAGCAAGTCTAGAGAGCAAGCGATCTAGGCCAGAACCAGACAGGAGACTTCCAGAGAATATAGAAACTAACCTGAAAGATACTAAAAGAATTAGTGACAGACACCTAACTATTGCAACAAATGAAAAAAAAGGTGGTAATTATTTATTCAAAGAGAAAAGTTACAAAAAAAAAAAAATACAGTACAGAAAAAAAGACCAGGAAAAAAAAAAAAAAGACCAGGAAAAAAATTCATGAGTAAAGAATATTTACATTGTCATTATAGCTATAAAATTATCAAATATTATTTTAACCAAAATTTTTGATATAAAGGAGAAATAAGAGTGAGGATGTGCTAAGGAGTGTTCACATGCTAAACTCTTTATCTACCATAACAAGAATTTAACAAATTAGGTTTAAACTTGATAAAACAATATGAATTATTAACAGATTATTTAGAAACAGAAGAAACAGGTACAAGAAGAGTTCTAAAGCAATCTCTGGAGAGGAAAAAGAGGACTGATTTTTCTCAACATTTTAACATTATTTTGATTTTTCAAAGTAAGTGCATGTATCACTCGGATTAAAAAAAAAAAAAAAGCATGGCACCTGGGTGGCTCAGCTGGTTTAGTGTCTGCCTTCAGCTCAGGTCATGATCCTGGGTCCTGGGATCCAGTTCTCCAGTCCCATGTGGGCTCCCTGCTCAGCGGGGAGCCTGCTTCTCCCTCTCCTCCCTGCTTGTGCTCTATCTCTGTCAGTATCTCTTTCTCTCTCAAATAAATTCTTTTTTTTTTTTTTAAGATTTTATTTATTTATTCATAAAGACACTGAGAGAAGGCAGAGACATTGGTAGAGGGAGAAGCAGGCTCCTCACATGGAGGCCAACGTGAGACTCGATCCCGAAACTCCAGGGATCATGTCCTGAGCTGAAGGCAGACACTCAACTGCTAAGCCACTCGGGCATCCCTCTCAAATAAATTCTTAAAAAACAAAGAAAGAAAAGCTAGTATATATACTGAGAAGGTGCAAGTAGTGTTCTAAGCTTTTTACATTTATTGAATAATTTAGTATTTTTAAAGCCTATTGAGTTGGTGCTATTTTATTCTTGTTTAAATGAAGAAAAATTAAGGTCCTGAGAGATTTAATAACTTATTCAAGGTCATATAGCCTAGAAAAAGGCAGAACCAAGATTTACCTGAAAAATTTAACTTCACAGCAAATATTAATATAGTGCCACAAATATTACACCAAACTATCCTATCTAGAAGTGAAATTTAATTTTAAAATTTCTAGTTAAAAAATATAAAATGTTTTGGGCAGCCTGGGTGGCTCAGTGGCTTAGCGCTGCCTTCAGCCCAGGATGTGATCCTGGAGACTTGGGATCGTAGTCCGGCTTAGGGCTCCCAGGATGCCTGCTTCTCCCTCTGTCTGTGTCTCCGCCTCTCTCTTTCTCATGAATAAATAAATAAAATCTTTTAAAAAATAAAATGTTTCAAAAGCAGTAGCATCTCACTGAAAATGCTACTCCTGTGGATCTTTAGTCAAGCACCTACGACAATACAATACTGAATAAAGACTACATTTTTGTAAAATAAACTCAAATTGTATTTTGTATTCAAACCTAGAAGCATCTCTTCAGATTAGGTTTTCTACTACTATGGCATTTCCATCCTCTTGTCCTCCTACCCTTATGTTAACAGTTGTCTTATATTTATGCCTTTTTAAGCCACTCTTTTTTGGAGATGAGGATGGTTACATACCATAACAATTTAAATGAATGAAAAATGTTTCATATAAAATTTAAACTTGTTTATATAAAAAAAGTAACCAATGGGAAATACATTTGCTATGCAAATGACAAAACAGCTAATATCCTTATAAAGATTCATTCATATTAAGCAGCATGTAATCCAATTTTTAAAAGGCAAGACTATGAAAAGACAACTTGCAGAAGAGCAAATTCAAAAGACTAATAATATTCAAACTTGCTACTAACAAAGGACACACGATTGGGGATGAAATCTATCCGGTTTCTGCTACCTAATGGGCTGAGATTAAAAAGAATTGTAATAACACTGGCAAAGCTGCAATGAGCCAAGCACTCATACAATGCTTATGGTAATGTAAATTGGTAGAAACTTCTAGAGGTATATGACAATATGAAAACATTCTTCTACTCATTGATTCAAGAAAATAAAATGCAACATTCTTCTACTCATTGATTCAAGAAAATAAAATGCAACACCACCAGTAGTCCCATCAATGAAAGAAACGTCAGAATCAACTTATGTGCTCCAAAATATTACTAGGTGGGTTGCTTACAAGTGCTATGATATGCCTAAATAAAATGAAATTCTGTAGTCATCAACAGTGTTTTGAAAGAAAAATTCTTTTAACAAAAAGAAAAAAATGTAGAAAAATTCTTTTAACAAATAAATAAAAGCAGGACACAAAACTGTGTTTCTAGAAAAACCTCAACTGCATGTCAGGTAAACCCATATACCTAAAGAAATCAACCAAATGTTAGCAGTCACTATTCTGTGATGACAATGTGTACAACTTTTCTTCTTTGAAATTTATTTTTTATTTAAATTCAACAGCCAACATGTAAGTACATCATTAGTTTCAGATGTGGTGTTCAATAATTTATCAATTGCATATAAATTAATTTTTTAATTCAAATTTTCTTCAGTAAATATGAAACAGTTTTAAAGATGGAAAAAACAAAGTTCGTGTATAGAAGAATTTCACATACCTTGGTGGCTGTTACTGATGTAGCCAAGTTTGTAGTTTTGGAGGAGGATCCATTAGAACTTGCCGGTGGTGTCTGGGCCACCACAGACTTACTGTTTGTACTATTTGTTCCATTAGCAGTACTGGCAGAGTGGGAGAATGTAAATTTGAAGCCACTAGATGATGTCCTTTTAGGAAGGTTTTCCTTGTCTTCACTTTCTTTTGCTAAAGCGAAAGTAAAATTTTTAATCTTTTTCAGTAAATATTCCTAAATAAGCAAAGCATCTGAAAAGAACAATAGCTTAAAAACTTATAAAACATTGCCTTTGTTTCATAAGAGCCATGGAGCATGATGTGTACAGTAATTAGTCTTTAATCTTAGAAATCTCAGGATTTGAAAGGACCTTAAGAATCATATACCAGAATTAGCCATCCTACACTAGAATTCTACAGTGTTGTATCTAGGACACATCAAGGATTCATTACCTATTTGACTCTGCCTTTCACTGTTTCTTTGCACCTTCTCTTCACTGCACTGACCCTATACTTCTAAAATCCGTAAATCCATGTGAAAAACCTGTTAACCCCTCCCACAAGTCAGTATTTCAAATGCCTAAAGACAATGATATGATCATGTCTATCAGTCTCTTATTTCCTGAATATTCCAGATTCCTTTAACTGTTTCTCTTTGACTTGGGCATCTACTATCCTTTCACTCCTGGTTGCTCCTTTTTTTGTATATGATTCTAAAGTGGATTCAAAGCTTCAAGTATGGCCTTGCTGCCCCTTTCTATGGTAGTCAGGGCAGTGCCTATAATGAATAAAGGTAGAAGAATTAAGCTACCAAAGTTACCTATACCTTAGGACATCTTGTTGGCTATCTGCTACACCATGCTGAGGTCAATAGAATTTCAGACATTAAGAAGCGAGTACATAATGAATGAGGCTGGGAATAACAGTTGCAGGAAAAATGTAGTAAGTGATTGAAACACTAAGGAGAAATGCTTTTGCCTTTCAAAATGTTAAATTTGTAGTAAACATTTATATGATGTAGGACAGTACTCAAATAATGGTGATTTTTTAAGCTACAGAGTTAAAGTGATTAATTCTTTTAAAAGGTAAGATCTCAGGGTTTTTTTTTTTAAGATTTAATTATTCATGAGAAACACCGAGAGAGAGAGAGAGAGAGAGAGAGAGAGAGAGAGAGAGAGGCAGAAACATAGGCAGAGGGAGAAGCAGGCTCCCTGCAGGGAGCCTGACGTAGGACTTGATCCCGGGTCTCCAGGATCACGCCCTGGGCTGAAGGCGGTGCTAAACCACTGAGCCACCTGGGCTGCCCAGATCTCAGTTTTATAGACAAGTGAAACACATTTGAAAGATGGGAAATTCTACTTCTCTTGATAGTCTATCTTTATGAAATTTTTATAATGATTTAAAAACCTCAAATAGCAAAGTTACTTCTTTGAGCTTAGTTTCCTCAGTTATAAAAGGCAGAGCACTCTGGAAAGTTTCTATGGATCTATATGGTCTCTATTATTACTGGAGATTTCAGTACAGAAATAAATCAAGATTGTTTATAGAAAGCAATGTATAAGTAGACAATGTAATTCTAAACAGCAAATGAAGGGGTACTTGGGTGGCTCAGTCGTTGAGTGTCTGACTCTGGTTCAGGTCGTGGATCCCACAGTCCTGGAATCGAGTCCTGTTATCAGGCTCCCCACAGGAAGCCTGCTTCTTCCTCTGCCTAGGTCTTTGCCTCTCTGTCTCTTATGAATAAATTTTAAAAATCTTTAAAAATAAATAGCAAATGAGCATCACAAAATGGCAAGTTTCAAGAAAAACAGTTTACACATGAAAATAACTCCCAGATTTAGAGAAGGATGTGGATATTTTAAAAGGTTGATTCATTATAAAATTCATTTTCATGCTGTATATACTATGACCAGACTTTCACAAGCAACTGATAATTTCTGTACTTAAGTAATACATTATTTAAAAATTCAAAATTTTAATACCTTTTTTTGTCTCCATAAATTTTTCATAAGTATCTGGAAAATCATCTTCTGGCTTAGATTTTTCTACTGGTGCCACAACTGCTTTTCCTTCCTCCTCTTCATCTTCATTAAACCACATTTCTTCATCCTCTTCCAAGGCTTTTGCATCTCTGCGAAATCTGTTACTACGTAATATAGATGGTACACTGTAAGAAACATATCACAAACACTGAGTAATGATTTAAAGTTTGTGACCACATTTAATTTGAGAATAAATATATAGAACACTAAGAGGAGCTAAAGTAACTTTAACTTCATATAATTTACATCATTACCTCAATTGTGATACAAGATATAACCAGAGAACACTCCAAAATATTTAAGGATATTGCAAATTAAAAATTTATCTTGAGTTATTATACAGAGCAGTCATTTTTCATATAAAAGATTCTGGGTGGGGAGAATATCCTACCCTTCTACACAATCCCGTACTATCTAATGACAGAAAGAATACTCCTGGATAAATTTCACATGTCAGATCCAAACAGAAGATGATTTCAGATGTAATTTTATAGACTATAAATGCAATATATTTAAACAGTACCTGTTCAGTTTTTGATTTTGTCTGTCTTTTTCTTGCTCATACTTAGTCTTCAATCCTTTGAATGTCTGAACATATTCAATTGATTCAAGTGCTTTATAAAAGTTTTCAACTATATGTGCAGTAAGAGACTTGATATCTTCCTGTATAAGGACAAAATTTACAATTCAAATATAAGTCAATGACGGTTAGGAGAAAAACTTTTTTATAGTTCCAAAGCTGATCAAAAAAGGTTTTTCAAAATCACATCACAAAAATAAATGTCCTAGTTTCTGTACACATGAGCCAGGCCTCCAGAGAAAAATTGGAATAAAAAAGAAGCCCTTTTGGGGGACTATAAAACATTTGAAAGTAAACAGATTTATTTTACATCTTCTGTTTATTTTTTGCATTTACATAGCACTTTACAATTTAAAAAGCACTTTAATATATACTTTCACTTGATCCTCCTCTAAAAATTCTATGAAATGGGTTTTATTACCCCCAATTTACAGAAAAGGAAAATTGAAGATCTGAAAGGTTGGATGACCTGATGAAGAGCACACAACTAGTTCAAAGGCAGGTGCTGAAATTACATTTTCAATAAATTTTAGGTGCTACTTAATGGCTCCTTGTTTAACTGGCATCAAAATGGGAAAAGTAATGATGTTAAGAGAAAAAAAAATGGGATAAGCCCTACCTAAATAATAAACATTGACTCCTCTGACTATATTACATATACAGATCTGATAAACTATTAACTTGAATTCCACCTATTTCCGCAGTCTTCCAACAGTATAATTTTTGTGAAATAAACGGACAGTCATAACTTCTAAATTCTTTTAAATTCTAAATGAACCATTCTAAATAACCATTCCAAGTGCTGGGTGTGAAGTAGGATCAGTATTAATAATAACTAAAGTTGTGATTCAGAAATTTAGTATTAAAAAGAAATATACATGTTAGTTCTTTAAAAAATACACCACAAAAAAGAAAAAATAATAATAAAAAAAATAAAAAATACACCACAATCTGCTTCTTTTAAGGATTTTTGTCTTTAGTTCCCCTGGAAATCTCAATTAAATAATATGCAAAGAAGAAACATTAGGAAGCCAGGTAAATGGGCGGTGCTATATACTGAACAAAAAGATGAGTAAAGTTTTGGGGCACCTGGATGGCTCAGGTTTAAGCACCTGACTCAGTTTTGGCTCAGGTCATGATCCTGGGGTCCTTGGATTGAGCCCCATGTGGGGCTCCATGCTCAGCAGGGATTCTGCATGAGATTCTCTCCCTCTGCCCCTCCCCTCACTTGCACTTTCTCTCTCAAATAAATACATAAATCTTTAAAAAGATGAGTTGAGTTTTGGAATTCAATGTACATTTTATCAACCACCCAAAATAATTTTCTGAAAAACAAATTCAATCATAGGAATAGGGATGGGGTTGTGAACTCTACAACTAATTCATTTTATCAGTACTACCTCACCAAAAATTTTAAGGAAAAAATCATAAAAGTCAATCTCTGGTTCATTAAAACAGTGTACTGCGAACCAGGGTTCAGATACTTAGTAAGCTGGTTTACTATGTTCTTTCTTTTCTAAGGGTAAAGTCTTTTCTTTTTTTAAATTTTTTTTTATTTTTAAAGATTTTATTTTATTTATTCATGAGAGAGAGAGAAAGAGAGAGGCAGAGACACAGGCAGAGGGAGAAGCAGGCTCCTCATAGGGAACCCGATGTGGGACTTGATCCTTGATCCTGGGTTTCCAGGATCACACCCTGGGCCGAAGGCAGACACTCAACCACTGAACCACCCAGGTGTCCCAGGGTAAAGTCTTTTCTAAGGCTTCTACTCTCTTTATCCTTTTGAAAACCACACTCTTGGCAAATGACTACTATTAGAAAAGTAATCCAGTAGGCCAAATAATCTTTATGAGAACAGCATATTATGAGCAGAAATCTGATTTCTAAGAGCCAAACCTAGAGAATGAATTTCTAGCTTTGACTTTCTTTTTACAAATTCTAACCAATTCTAACCATGTGGGGCATTTTCCATGGTGGAATGATTTCAGTATATGGGAGAGGGTAAAATTACTCTACTGGTTCTACAGTTACTTGTCTTATCCCTATTGTTCACATAGAGTTCTCTCCAGATCTTTTTATGACAGATGTTCAGTTGCTCAAAACTGAGCTGTGACCTATGTTCAAGCTCTGACTGTGCACTCATAACCAAACTGATGCTCTTGAATAAACAATTTGATCACTTCGAGTGTGTGAAGCCCCTATCTATAAAATAAGGAGTGGTCCACCTAACTTCCTGGTCTCTTCAACTTAAAATTCCATGATAACAGCTACCTTTTATGCATCTTCTATCAAAGTTTACCAAAGTAATTATTTTCAACCTTTCTATTTATTACTACCCCTACAATAGATTACAGAGATCTCATGAATGGCATGCTTGGCCAAATGTCCACATATGCCAAATATAATTCTGAAACATGTGGCCAATAAAAATGGAACTAGGAATAATACAGAATAAACACGGATTAAAACACTATGTTGAATTTCATAATTTAAAATATTAACATTGCTAAACATATAATAATTTTATTTCACTAAGAATCCTTTAACATAAACTTACCACTCTTATAAATTCAAATAACTCAATAACAGCTGAATTCAACAGATTGTACCGAGTTCCATTATCCAGAAGAGCATTTATAACTGGCTCAAAAAGATTTCCCTTTGTGATGTAACGATTATAAAATTCATCTTTAAGGCCAATTATCCGCCTCATAAAACGAAGAGCACCTAATTAAAAATACAGGGAACAAGTTGATAATCTCATTAATAACAATTACTATACAGCCATTTTTACATAAAGCAATGTATATATTCTTCTAAAATAAAAAGTAAAGCTGTGCACTAAAAATAATTGGGTTTTGAGGAAAAACAGAGTTAAGGAAAGACTACTCAAATATGTATAACTCATGTAGCTAGAGCTAGCAAAAAACCCAATACTTGGTAGGTAGCTCCATGGTTTAGAGATTTAAAAAACCCCACAGAAACCATTGAATGCCAATGCTGGCAGTACTCAGAGCAGTGCTGGTAGACATGCAGACGATGTAGTGATGGCAGCTAAGAATCAGTGCAGGGCTGTCTGTCATGAAGGTGGGCTCAAGAGTGGTGCAACCTGCCCCAGACTGCCTCATCTCTCTGCAAGAGGGAGCTTTGGAGGTAGGTACTTCTTTCAATTTTCTGAAAATAAAGCCAAAGGGGTTCCTGCTGCCAGCTTAATAAGGAGAGCTAAAGGTCTTTTACTCTTCTGATGAAGGCTATAGTTTCATTCCCACTAATTCAGTTCTCTTTGCTTTGGAAAAGTCATCTGTGAACTGACACTACCTATACATTATAACATATACATTTTAACCCTATATGTTTTAACCCTTGTTTACCAATTGCTTATGAGTTGTTTTGCCTTTGGTAAACGTACTGTGGCAAGTCAGACTGTATTTGTAAAAGAACAACAGAGTAACAAGTAAGCAGTATAACATGGCTTTTCATATTTTAAATACTGAAAAGAAATCTCTCATTTCAACCCGCTATTCACAGATGGAAGTCATTAAAAGAAGATGTGCCTGTCAAAAGAGGTCCTAAATATTATCTGAGAATAAAACTGAAATAGGTCATATAAGGTATAAACATGATAAGTGTAACACTAAAGAAGTGTGAAGAAAAAAAAAAACCCAAAAAACAAAAACTAGTGTGAAGAGAAGTGCTAGACTTATAACATCGCCTCTTTTTGTAGGACAAGAAATAGTTATTTAAAATTAAAAAGAAAGTAAGTATTAGTAAAGATGTGAGCAAACAGGCACTATCATATACTGCTGATAAATGATATGATATAGTTAGAACTGCACTACTTATAATGATGGATCTTGAAGCAATGTAAACATTTAAATAATGGAGATTTGATATAGGACTACTTTGCAGTTATCCAAAAGGATTATTTACAGAAAGTCAGATAGGAACACCTATCATGAGAACATCAATCCTTCCAAAATTAATATAAAACCTAACATAATCTTATCATAAATAACCAGATAAAATTATTTTTAAGTTATTATGGTAGAATCAATGTCCAAGAACCAAGAAAATTATGAAAAGGAAAAGTGAGTAGGGAGTTAGCATATATTAAACTTTACAAAAGAGATGCCATAATGGCCTAAGAATAAACTTTCCTATTTAACTCATCTATAAAATAACAGATTCAGAAATAATAGTTAAGAAATAAGACACAAGATGTATATGGCAATTTACTGCATAACGAAAGAGAAATTTTAATTCAGTAAGAAAAACATAGTTTATTTAATAAGGGAATTGGCAAGACTTGCTATCCATCTGGAAGAAAACAAAGTGAGCCCTCCAAACCATATACAAAAACAAACTTCAAATGTATTATATATGGAAGTTAAAAGTGAAATAACAAAAATATTAGAAGTAAATCGAGGAGAATATTTTATTTGTGTAATATTAGGACACAGATGTTCCTAAGCAAAACAAAACCCCTAAAACTCATAAAGGGAAAAAAGAGATATATTTTTTCATCACAGAGAATCTTAAAACTGTTATATGAAAAAATACTATAAATAAAGGCAAATGCAAAAGACAAATAAGACTGGGTCATTTTTTCCCCCAAAATGTGATAATTATTAATATCTCTAATATGAAAGCTCTAAGAAAAAGATAATAGGCAATTCACAACAGATAAAATTCAAAAGCACTAAAACGTGAAAATATGTTGCCAAGGAAAATGAAGTTAAAAGGTAAATTAAAACACAAATGAAATACCACATTTTCCATCATCCTCTTCATAACATTTTAGGAATCAGTGAGTGCTGCAAGAGTGTCAAGGGCTTCAATCTTTTGGGAAAGTAATCTGGAGGCTGTATATGAAATTCAAATTTAAAAGGATACATTTAAACTATATAAACATTTTGTCCTGGCATTATCATTATTGGGAATCTGTACTGTGGAAATAAAGAAACCAGTACTTAAAAGACTTATATACTATTCACTACAGTGTTATGTGGAGTAGCAAAATACCAAAACAATCCCATAATCTGTGCACTACAGAATGGCAAAATAATTGTGGAGGAGCCACTCCATCAAGTGTTACTCCCTTACATTTAGGAAAAAAAATTTAGTTGAGACCATATTCAATCACATAGAGTAATACTAAGGGACTATGAAGTGGGTTAATAGGATCCTGTTTTTATAAAAATAAAAGCCCTGTAAATATCTGAGTGTTTATATAAATTGTATGGAGCTGGAAAAAGGAATAGAAAAAATTATGCATGCAGCTAATGATGGCTACTCTTAAGGTCTTAAAAGTAGTAGGTGGGAGATTAACCTTTTCACTATACGTTAAATGTTTCAATTTTAACTGTAACTTTTATGCTCAGAAAAAACACCCAAAACTCTTTATTTGGAGGGTGAAGGAGGTCACTTTATCTCTATTTCCAGGTAAAATTATCAAGAGGAAAGGAAAATTAACAGTTTACCAAAAATCAATATTGAAGCAAATATCAGCATTTAAGTTTGGAGATTATTGGTCCCAGTGGTATACTGAGGGGGACTACTCATAAGCTATTTTATAAATTCAATAAATAACCCGAGTTATAAAAAAACATTTCAAGGCCCATATCTCAAATTTAAAAAGTCACTATGATAGTTTGATGAAACAGATGTGAGAGACAGCAGGACTTGTTCTATTAGTGAAATGTCGTCATCGTACATGGTATTTTATCACAACAGTTAATCTAATTCAATCTAAATGTGAGTAATATGTGAGTAGGGAAGCACCATGACCTATTCCTCTTGTCCTTTAAATAAAAGAAAACAAAAGATTAGTACTTCTCATGATAGCATATATATGGCTAAAAAAAAAAATTCACATGGGTAGTTTCAGGTTTTATCTTTATTAAAAATATTGTTCCTTAAAATATCTTACAAGAATGTTCTTTTAAATTGTTACTTACACAAGGCCAGGAAAGTGTGCTTTGAATTCATCAAGACCAAGACTCTTCTTAGCAAGTCCTTGTTCATAATATAGTTTTTTATGTGATATGTGTGATGTTCCACACAAAATGTGAGTAGTTCTAAAATTAAGGCAAGCAGCTGTGCTGTTTGATAATTATCTACAAAGAAAGTCATCACATGAAAATAAAATAAATATTGCAATTCACCTAAAGAGAATAAAGTTTATGTCCCATATTTTAGAGCAAAAGCTAAACTGCATTTCTTCATTTTTATATAAAGAAGCTACAGATTTTTACTTTTTCATTAGCAGACTCTCAAATACTATTGTTTTATTGATCAAACTGATACTTTCTAAGGCTCTGTATAAAGTATGTATTAGTGGTAAGAGGAAAAAAAGAACGCCTAAATAAAAATCTACAAACATGATAAGAAAACCCTCATTACATTGATATTTTCTTAGTAATGTTTCTTTAATATATGCTTTCATTATTGATATTAATGAATCTATTAAAGGGTTCACAGTAAAGAATAATAAATACCTCAGGCTTTCTGCCTATCATGGTGCAGCAAAATTTCCCCCAAGAAAAATTAACATGCTTTCTTTAAAGATATCTTTAAGGAAAGGATATTTTGGCTATTTGAATATCACCTGAAAAATATTACACAAGATTTTTTAACAATATTCTTTCTAACATTAAATCGTGATATCTATGAGAGGCCCATTGAAATACACTATCTTTTTCTCCCTCAAGAGGCCTTGGTGTATGTATGCATTAATGAAATGATTTCAAATTGGTTCATAAACATCAAAGCTGAATGGTCCAAGGACTTAGGTCAATAATTGCTGACACCTATCATAAATGTTTTAGGGAAGAAATATTAAACTGCAAGGAAATTTTAGAATCACAGCCTTAGAGAATAGATCTAATCCAACTATTTTATTTTTCAAGAAGATGAACACAAATATTTTGTGGAACTCTGAAGGTATCGGGAATAAATGAGCATTCTATTGAGAATAGAATAGCCATTAAAAATACAAAATATAGTTCTGGTATTTATAAAGATCTTTCCTACATCAAATGCAAGTAAAGACTTTTACTTGCTTCAGACCAATCTATAAACGCTAACACCACAGCCAATATTTGAAAGAGTCCCTCACCAATAAAAAAATAAACTCTCGTAATTCCTCAATTTAATTACAAAAGATTTTGTAACAGTCATCTTCAGTGTTAATCAAATGTCTTGTTTTCACTTTCTCAAATTAATCATTTTATCTCTAACTAATCCAATCTCTAAATGGTCTTCTCAACTGAAACTGGCTCTCCTAGACCACTGATAAGCCTAGTAGAGAAAGACAGGATGCTAGGTGCACACAGCATATTTTCCATACTTCCAATGTGATACCTGGGTATGTGTGCTCCAAGTAGAAGCAACAGTGCTTATACTCAGATTCATAAATACCTAAGCATAATGCTTTCATGCAGCATTCCTAACTGGCCTTAGTTTACTAGGTTTCAAAAATAATGAACTCAACTTTCAGATGTCTTTTCAAAAAGATATCAGAAAATAATTTCTAAATTTAGAGGGAAAAAACAAAATTCCAACCAGTTTTCCATCTTTTATGTTAGAGAAAGTGGAATGTTCTTCTTTACAATAAAGAAAAAAGGTAATTTTTTTTGGATTTTTTTAAAAAAAATATGCCTTTCCTAGCCTTGTATAAATAAATGCATTATATTCTGAGCAAAAAAAGCTTACTATTTGTATTGACTCTTAAAATAGGAATTTATACTTACCAGGGCAAATCGTGCTGTTTTTGTTAGATCCAACTATATTATCTAACAAAAAAAGTTAAAGTCAGTTACTTCAGTAATTATTCCACATTTTCCTAGTCACAATATACAAAGCATGTTTTTGACCATCTCATTTTACCTGAATAACCACTAAAAAGAATTAATTGTGAAGAGGGTGAGGGGACAGGCAAAATGGGCGAAGGGAGATAGAGGATTCCAGTTATGGAATGTATGTCACAGGGATAAAAGGTACAGCACAGGGAATATAATCAATGGTACTGTAATAGTATCATTTGGTGATAGATGGTAGCTATAGTTGTGGTGAGCATAACTTAATGTATAGACTTGTTAAACTATCGTGCTGTCCACTGAAAGTAATGCAGCATCATGTGTCAACTATACTTCAATTTAAAAAAATAGTTGCTTCAAATATTATACCTGTATCTGCAATCTTTTACAGAACTGAGTGCAGATGAGAAACTGTTAAAAAACAATAAATATTCTGATAAAAAAGTGAAGTTACAACCAGAGATAAGACTGACACATTTTCTTTTACTTCTTAGTCATCCTCCAACAATTAGGGCATGTCTCTCTCGATTTAGGAATTTCTTAAACTCCAGAATGATACATGTTAACAATTATCATTTATACTTTGAAAGTAAGTAGGATATTGGAAGTTCTGAATTTTAGGCATACAATCTTAGAGCACAATGGTATAGGGAAAAATACAAATGTCTATTCGCATTATGTGTAATAGCAAACTAGAAACAAATGTACATTAGAAACAGAATGGCTAAATTACAACACACAGAGACCATATTATGCAAAAGTTAAAAATAAGTAAGAACTCTAAGGTATCAATATGGATAGATTTCAAAAAAAAAATGAGTAAAAAAAAAAAAAGGTAAAATAATGTGTACAATAGAAATGAATTCATATCAAGTTTTAAAAACATGAGAAACAATGTATTACAGGTCATAATAATATAAACACACATGGTGTGATAAACTTCAAATTCAGCATTCCTTGAGGGATGGGGTAAAGTGAGAATGTGAAGGTGTGCATAGGAAACTAACAGTGTCTGTAATTTATTTTCTTTTCAAAATAATTTGAAAAAAATAGGGCAAGTTTGTTTTGATAAAGCCAACAGGATATATATGGGTGTCTGTCCTACAATTTTCTAAATATTTCTATAAGCTGGAAATGTCTTATTTTTAAATAAAGATTAAAAATGCATTTATTTTAATTTATACAAATGAAGCTATTCTGCATGAAAACGTTCTGGAACATGTTTTACCCAATTTTGTATTTTTGAGAACTAGTTAGATGGCATCAAAATTGTTATTTTAACTGCTATATAGAATTCCACTGTATGATTATAACACATTCTCCATTTTCTTACACATGCTTGTAACTGTTCATGCATTATACATAAATGTTCCCTAGGATATACACTCAGAAATTGAATTGATGGTATTATGTAAGGTATGCCCATTTCACAACTTAGTTTAGTAAACATTCTCTTTAACTGACTTCCTCTTTAAAATGACTTACCAATTAGCCAACACTCTCAAGAGAATATGCCCCCCTCATTTCTCATTTTACCAGTTACATTGTATGCATATCAAAATGTCCTTTGTTTACACTAATTATTTTTGGCAGTATGATTACATAATTTAAATACCACAGACTGATGAAATATAAAAATGTAGTATTTATGGGCTAAGTTTAATACAGTCCAGAAGTCTATAAAACCAGAAGTTATAGCTGATGAATTATGTGTGTAGTTTATGCCTGAAAGATGACATAGAAATACAATAAAAAGTATTAAAAAAAAGCCTTACCCCTATACAAAATATTAGCAAATGAGTCAGCATTTAGAGTATTTACAGTTATTTTTTTTGCTGCTTTAACCGACTTTGTTGATTAACCTCATCAACTTTTGATCCTTATGTTGTGAAACTAGAGAGCTTGTACTTTATTGCCAAATTATTCTCCAAAATGACTGTTCCCTTGGATTTTCTAATGTAGGGTAATACACTGTTTACTCTTGCCCACTCTAGATAATCTCCTTTTGTTAAAGTGTTTATATCTCTCTTCCTCAAGATGTAATACTTTTTGCCACATTTTCTGTATCATTCTCTAACAGAGACCTTCTGAAACAATGGATATCGTGATTTTATACTGCAGTTTAAATTTTTCAGTAGTAATTTTTCTGTCATATAAAGCACTGAGTAAACAGTCTGTTATAGTTATACTACTTATTTCACTCTTTAAAAATGGAAATCATAAGCAGATAAGATACCCTACCTACCCTTTTCACACTTGTCTTCTGAAGTATTGGTCAAAAGTGGTGCTGTGAGAACATGCATACAATGGTTGTAGAAGAAATTTAGAAATTCACTTTTTTCAGTTTTCTGAAACACACAGAATTTTTTAAAATATTGCTTTTTAATTAATATCTTTAAGAGTTAATGCAAGTCATATACAAATAACAGATACTTTAAGATACCATGAAAGCACCAAAAAATTAGTTATATTCACCTTAATTGTATTTCTGCAGAACTGAAAAATCAAATCTATTTCATATAACTAAATTAAAATGAAAGCAAGAAAAAGATTATAAAAAATATTTCTGAGGAAAATTATTCAGAATTTTTTTCTAACATGCTTGTGATCTGAAATGCAAAGGCTCTGTCAAGCAATATGATATAGGACCAACTTAACTGCTTAAAATTTCAAACTCCATATCCATACCATATCCAAATTTCAAACTACATTCATAGCATATCCAAATTGGAAAAAACACCAAAGTGATTTATCAAGCCATTTGAACAGTACAAAATTTAGATCTATTTTCTAAATTTCAAAAATTTATTATTTGGAAACTTGGAAAACAGTGTCTTTTGATTTTTGGCCACTATTTTTTATACAATGGTCTCATAAACAAGTAATGATTTAAACACAATATATACATTCTTTTCTAAATATAAAGTAATTTTATAAAGAAAAAATATCCCAGCACTTTGAGACAACTATTAATATTTTGGAATATTTCCATAAGTCTTTTCTGAATGACTTCTACCATGTAGTTGATATCATTCAGTACATATTAATTCTTTCATTATGATTAAAGAATACATAACATAAAATTTACTATCTTAGGCATTTTTACTGTTTACAGTTCAGCAGTGTTACACATACGTACCCTGTTGTGCATTCATTTTTAAGAAGTTAACAGAATGAGGCCAAGGGCCATTAATAGAAATGCTAACATTTTACTAAGATTTTCGCAGATCACAATTTGCATTTTACCACAAATAAACTGCTGCAGGAACACCACAGCTATTTGGATCCCAAGTGTACAAATACTTAAATATTATTTTCCAAAATTGTACACATTTTAAGATTTTATATTTACATATAATTTATATATTTATACATAATTTATTATACATTATCTAAACTGACTAGACCAAAACATTTTTATCCCAGAATAATTTCTTACATTAGTTGTAGCCAGCATGTTTTCTGGATCAATTAGAGTACGAAGAAGTCCCATTAACTGAACAGCACCTCCTAGCTCAGGATCAGTATCACAGATCATTTGCTCAATTACTACATTAATGAGAAGGATATCCTGAAAGAAAATGTATTTCCATTAGATCTGGTTTGGATAGAAGACAAATATACCAGCTGAAAGAATAAAACCAGAACCAAAAAATAAATGAACTTGTTTTTTTTTTTTAATGAACTTGTTTAAACTTTTATATTCCCAGTATTTTTCAAAGTTCTATAAACACACTAGAGTGAAAAAAGCTCACTAAAAAAAAGCAGAGCACACTACAGCTTATGGCAACATCAACATATAGAAGTAGAAAACAAAATCATTTATCATCAGTGATTCTTGTTCATTAGAGATTCTAAAAGATTATTGTTCTAAATTTCAGCCTCAGATTGAAATTTAGAAGCCACCTGAACAAGGAAGATCATCATACATCATGTGACCCTAAAACAGATTATATCAGTTTCAAAAGAGAAAATCCTTTCTACCAAACAGTGAGGAAAACCCAGTATACAACTCTCCACAGGAGGCAAGTGGGTGCACACTGTGTTACATAATAATCTAATGCCATAGAGATCTGCATTAATTGCATGTTTTGGGATCTTAATTATGAAACTACAAAGTAGCTTGCAGATACAGTATTTGCCTCTTGCCTGTATTTTTAAGAAATCTTGAAAATTATAGTACAAAGTGTTCATATCAAAGAAAAAAGTTTTGACATCAACTCAGTTGATTTGAGAATATACTTATTATTGGGGGAAGAAAGATAGTAACTGAAGGAAATGAAATGAAGGAACTGCATGGGATGAAGATAAATTTCTTAAATTGTTTGTAAAACAATGAATTTCGGTATAAAGCACTTTTTAAAAAAAGATTTTATTTATTTGAGAGAGAGCAAGCATGCACGTGAGCAGGGAGGAGGGGCAGAGGGAAAAGCAGACCCCCTGCTTAGCTGGGACAAGGACTTAAGGCTCCATTCCAGGACCCTGAGACCATGATCCTTGGACCATGATCTGAGCTGAAAGGCATATGTTTAACCAACTGAGTTACTCAGGCAACCCCAGGATAAAGTACTTTTTGTTACTTTTGTTGTGCTAGCCCCTCTTAAACTTAACATACTGTGGTTTCCACAAGTATTTCCCTGCAAAGTTGTGTTCCATGAAGAGAACCAACAAAAGCATGTCACAGTCACTTAACTTAAAATTAGAACCCTAACCCTTACCATGTTTCAAAATTTGAACACTAATGAATCAATTCTGTCAAGGCATTAGAAACAGAATTAAATCTCTTCAAAGAGGAATTATGAAATAAAAATCACAGAATTAATAAATCCAGAACCAAGCCTCATTTCAGTTACAAGGAAAAAGGGAGATTCTACATTAATCTGCTGCTCTTTCTTATTCTAGTAGGATCAGCAAAGCACAACTCATGTAAATATTAAGATACTACAAAAAGGTGTCATCCAATGAACTTTCTTGAGGACAATGCTGGGGCATTTACTTACTTTAAATTTATGTCAATATGTACTACTTATATTCTACCAGTTAATTAGGGCCTTAGATAATTCGGTGAATTATATATAATCTTCTTTCATAAGTTTATGCATTTAAAGTAGGCACAAAAAATCATAAATGATGAATGTAGGTTATATCTAAATAAAACCATAGTGGCAAGAAATACTTAAGGTATAGCTCATAACACTGAAATGTCATTTCAATATACATTCTTCAAACTTTTTTATTCCTGTTTTCTCTCTTACATGCAGCTTCTCATAAATCCTGCTTCCATCAGTATCAATGCCAAACTTTGAGTCCCATAATTTAGTAACACGTGGAAGTGAAAAATCTTGATTTATGTATTTCATAGTGAAAATGACTGCTAAAGAGAGCTATAGCCTTTTCAGGAAATAAGAAAAGAACTGCCTTTCTCAAAGGCCTGTAAGACTTCCCTGCCAGAGAGAGGTATATGCATTATTACTCTTCTCTAGAACATTTTAAGATACTCAAGCTTCAGACAGGAAGGGCACAGAGGTCAGTAGATAAACTGAATTAATTATGCCTGGATATGGGGTGCCTGGATGGCTTGATCGGTTGAATATCTGACTCTTGGTTTTGGCTCAGGTTATGATCTCAGGGTTGTAAGACTGAGTCCGGAGTTGGGCTCTGCCCTCAGTGGGGAGTTAGCTTAAGATTCTCTCCCTCTTCCTCTGCCTTTCCTGCCACTCGTGCAGCACGCATTCTAATAAATAAGTCTTTTTAAAAAAGAGATTAGGCCTGGATAAAATCTTTAAAATCCATAACAAGCAAATAGTTTGGAAGCCTACTACATAGTTGAGGAAGCTTAACTGTCAAGAAAGTTTTAAAATAAACAACACTTCCATGACTGTCCAATCTCTAAGACCACCACTGGGCCAGAGAACTCACACCAACAGAAAGTAGGCTGTGAAGATTATATAGGTCCTTGAAGGAAAGGCATCTTCTGTTGCCCATCTCAGATGTAGACACAGTGATAATGTCTTGAGGGAAGAAAGGCTTTGGAAAAAAATAGGCAAGGGGGATTCTTTAGAGACTGCTGGTTTAGTTAATCAAGGACCTCCCAGGACAAGGAGTCCACACCATTGCTATTCAACAAATATCTGATGAACCAGTGAATCACAGTTGTGAATGAACGACTGCTATATGTATGCTCTCTTTTACCAAATAAAAGCACTTTAGTTGTGATGTTGGGGGCAGATAAACTATCTGTTTATAGGTCACTGAAACACTGGGGAGGCTTATCTGGACTTGAAGAGGACTACCTAATACTCAAATATTCTGTACGTGGTACTGGATACAAAAGTGAACAGAAACTTGTTTGTCTCCCTTGAGGGAAGGGTGGGTGAGGAAAGAAAACATGAAAGTTAGGTAGCTAGAGTGGACTATGGTTGATACTACGAGATGCCAACCTAGTCTCTATTTTCTCTGCTTTGCTAGCAGAGCCCAAATTTTGTTCAGAGGTAATGTACTTAGTGAAAACATTGTTTCCCAGCATCCTTCATAGCTAAGGGTAACTTCCTTTTGGCCAAAGAAATCCAAGTAGAAACCGCTAAGTAGAACCTTCAGGAAAGTGCTTTAAAATGAAACACAAAAGCTATCTGCTCTCTTATTTTGCTTTCTGCCTTTCTTATTCCTGGAGGTGGAATAGAACTCTTTCAACCTCACGGTAACAGACATTAAAACCAGAAAACGAGGATGACAGATTCAAAAGATGAAAGTCTTTTGGCATCATGAGCTGCTATCTGAGGGTATCAGGGAGCTGCTCGTGACTTATTGGGACATTAATAAAACTTTTATTAGGTAGAACTATTCTAAGTTGGTTTCTCTTTTTTTGTGTGTGATAAAAACATTTAACATAGTATCTACTCTGTTAGCAAAATTTTATGTATATAATATTCTTAGGTACTATGATGCTGTATAGTAGATCACTGGAACTTACTTATCCTGTATAACTAAAACTCTATACCCTTTAACTAATGTCTTCCCCATTTCCCCCACTCCACATCCCCTAGCAAGCACCGTTATTCTTATTCTAGGAGTCTATTTTATATTCCTCATATATAAGAATTATCACGTATTATTCCTTCTGTGTCTAGCTAATTTCACTTAGCAAAATGTCCTCTAGATTCATTCATAAACAGGATTTCCTATTATAATGCTGAATAATGTTCTACTGTATATATGTGACAAATTTTATCAATTCATCTGCAGATGGACATTGAGGTGGCTTAGATGTCTTGACTATTGTGAATAATGCTGTAATGAACAAGGAAGAAATTTCTCTTTAAGATCTTTTGGATTTATAGACAGAAGATTGCTGGGTCATATAGTAGTCTATTTTAATTTTTAGAGGAACTTCCATACTGTTTTCCATGATAGCTGCACCAGTATATCCCCACCATCAATGTACAAGGGCTCTTCTTTTCTCCACATCCTTATCATGACTTATCTTTATTTTTTGATATTAGCCATCCTTTTTTTTTTTTTTTTTGAGGACAGGTTCCACATTTTATTTACATTTTAAGACTAACCTTCATCTCAAAATCATATATCCATAAACCTATTTCCTTTCTGTTGGCTGCACTTAAATGCATTGGTTTGTCAAAGACTGTAAATATTTACAATGTCTGTTACATGTAACACACATAGGAATGGCTTTTAACAGAAATCCATGATTTCCTCCACATTTTTAAATTATAAATACAGGCATCAAAACAATATTGAACTATGTTTGATACTACTAGTCAGCACCCTCACCACTTCAAAACTTAACACCATTTGTGACAATATTCATTGTACCTGCTACTTCAGACGACTTCACCTGAAGCTTTCAATAAGCAAGATGGATAAAGCATGCCACTTGTTTTTTCTTCTTGAGATTTTTCACTTTTCAGAAACACACATGCTTCCACAGCATCTGACTCTTCTCTCCATGCTTTCATCTTGTAAGCCTGAACTCTATTTTGAGTACTCTAGGTTTATGTGTAAATGACAGTACCATTGCTTACTACACCTTTAGTCCCTCAAGTTCTTCCAATAAGAGAAAATTATGAGGAACTTTGACTCCTGTACAGACCACCATCTTCTCCTGCAGTTCCAATACTAGCCATCCTAATAGATGTATGTGTACTTTGGAGAAATGTCTGTTTAGTTCCTTTGCCCATTTTCAAATTGGGTTATATTTTTTGCTATTGGGCTGCAGGAATTCCTTACATATTTTGAATATTAACATTTCATTCACAACCAATTGCAAACAAACTCTACACTTTTACTCCCAACCTACATACTGCTGATGTCAGATTTCTTTTTATATTGTGTATCTATTAATTTTCATAATTATGGTTATTAATATTTGTCTTTTACCTTTTGTATTAGGGTTAAAAGTGATTTATACACCATGAATAGAGTATTATATCATTCTGTATCCGTCTACATATTTACCTTCACCAGTGAGATTTACAGTTTTTTTTTTTTTTTTTTTTACACTGTTTCTATTTACATGTCTTCTTGGGGCTGTTTAGTGTTCTTCCATTTAACTTT